TCCAGTAGCTCATCAGCTAGGGGTGGAGCTCTGTCCATGTCCTCCCTCTGTGCTGGATAGTCTAGCTATTCTTTGATTAATCTAATGATATTGGCATTACTCCAACATTAAAACAAAATCTCACTTACAGTTGAAACTTTTTGAGTTATTCCTTCATCCTCTCCGTGGGATTTAGTTCTTAGGTCTAGAAAGTTATGCAAGCATCTAATTAGTAGTTAGCAGTCTGCCTTTTGGTGTCGCCACATCGTTCCAGTTCTGCCCCTGATTTCAAATCTTTCCCTCCACCTTTTCCTTTAAGTACTTTCTATTGCTTATTAAACTTGGCAGCAAGCTCATCTTTGCATTTGTGATCCCTCCAAGATGTTCATGTGGAGTTACCCATGCCATCTTCCACTGGAGGGTGCAGGAGTTCCAGGAGATTTAACAGAATCACCTTTAAGCCAGCCTGTGTGTCCTTCATGAGAGTTTTTGGGAGCTTCAGTATATTTTCACAAAGTTCCTTGGAGTTGGAAGTTAGGGAGGGTGAAGACTTTCAGTTTCTCATGCTTACATACCTATAGCTGCTGTTCTGATTCCTAGATCTGTAGCCCTTTGCTAGATACCAACCTGTGAAACTATTGCCTCCTGAAATGTAGAGTATGATTTTTTTTTCCCATGGTGGGGAAGTTGGTCACAGCAATGTCCTTATAAGATTCAGTCAGTGCTGTGATCTGGATGTTGGTGTCCCCTCCAATGTTTGTGTTGAAATCCTAATCTTACAGTGTTGGTATTAGGTGGGGCCTTTGGAGGGTGGAGTAAGTGACAGGGGCAGAGTCCTCAGGAATGGGTTCCATTCTCTTATGAAGGGCTTGAGGAAACACACACACATATACACATGCACACACACATGCACACACACAAACATGTATACACACACACATGCACACACACGTGTACACACACACACACACACACACACACACACACACACACACACACACTTCTGCTTTGGAATACAGTGATAAGTGATAAGGAACCTCTATGAACCAGAAAGTCAGCTTTCATCCACACAGACTCTCCTGTTGTCTTGATCTTAGATCAAAGCCTCTAGAATGTTGTTGGAGTAATGTAACCTCTGCTGTCAATAAGTTGCCCAGTTGGCAGCATCCTGGACAGACAGATTGCCACACTCACAGGTGTTAAAATGAAAGCAAACTGTAATCCTGTGCTGTGACCATTTTTTCCTCTCCCGTTCATAATGACTCCAAGTTTGTTTGCTTGTATATGGATATTTTCTTCCCTTCTATGGTGATCAGGTGTCGTTGTTGGAGCTGAAGTGAAGAAATGCGTTTCTGAGCTTTTAGTTTCTTTCAGGCTCTTTTCCCAAGCACATCTCATTTCAAACTCCGAAGTCAATAAAGTGATATGGTTGTTTCCTGGTTTACTTCTGATTTATAATAAACAAGCAAGAGCCATGAGTCAAATGTTCTCTATTTTTTAAAAAGTTCACACAAGGGAAGTAGATGGGTCTGGAACAAATACATTACAAAGAAACACATAAGAGTCCATTAGTTGATGTGACATAGCCTATTATACCAATGTAATGGTCTAAAACATAACAGATGACAATGTAATTCTTTATTATGTTTTAGAAACAAATGTCAAGTTAATGTAGTTGTTACAAAGAGATTTATCTTAGTCTTGATAATCAGTTCAAAAAATTATGGTATATGTATATTTTAAAGGGAATATAAAAATTGTTTAGCATTTTTGTGTTGATTGTGTGAGATGCTATTTACCTTTACTTAGGGGTTAGGTACAATGTGGCTGGTGTCCTTCTGCTGTTACTTATAACCAACACTGTTCACATAAGCTATGCATATATCCTGTCATTAAGACTGTAGTCTTGTCAGGTGGTGGTGGCGCACACCTTTAATCCCACCACTTGAGAGACAGAGGCAGGTGGTTCTCTATGAGTTCAAGGCCAGCCTGGTGTACAGATCTAGTAGATAGCTGGGACTGTTACACAGAGAAACCTTGTCTCCAAAAACAAGCAACAACAACAACAAAAAGATCACAGTCTCTGACATCAGAAGGCCTGTTTACAGGACTGCCTCTGCCATCGCTTTCCCTGGTTTCTGCATTCTTGCTGAGTAACCTACATATTATTAAAGTGTGGCAGAGAAGATAGAGTGAGTTCATATAAAATGCCTAGCACATCCAAACCCTAAGAATAATGGCTAGGCTTATCCTTATGCTGTTCCTTTTCTTTTCTACTAAAATAGCTTATGGACTGAAGAGTAAAAACAAAATGGAATTGCTAACACGACGAAAAGTAAACCTAGTGACATCTGACAGGATGGAAGTCTAAGAATGTGTTAGGACCTCATTTCATATAGATTTGATTGCCATTGGAGGAGCAAAGGAGTCCACACAGGAGCAAAGTTTGTAGGAGAGGATAATCTTTTCTAGCAAGGAATTTTTGGAAAATCATGGTATGTGTGTAGACCACACAAGGATCATAATTAAGTTTTGTCTCCCTTTACTTTGATGGGCAAAAACTAAGTGGCTGGTTCTCTTTTTTTTTTGGCAGTGTGTGTGTGGGGGGTTCCAGACAAGGTTTCTCTGTGTAGCTTTGGAGCTTATCCTGACGCTCGCACTGGAGACCAGGCTGGTCTCAAACTCACAGAGATCCGCCTGCTTCTGCCTCACGAGTGCTGGGATTAAAGGCGAGCGGCACCAATGCCCGGCTCTAAGTGGCTGCTTCTTAAGTATCCTGAATCACCACCTACAATTTTTCTTTATTAGAAAAATGGCAGTCCTGCATTTATGATGCAAAATATTAGTAGGGCCCTTTTTCACTGTTCTTTTAAAAATTATACTTACTTTGAAATTTATGGAAAATGATGCCTGGAAATTAAAGCAAAGTTTGGTTTATGTCTTTCCACTAAGAAGATGCTAAACCATCAGGATCCAATAGTTGTTTAATACCTAGGGGTTATAGATGAATTGGAAGATGAATTTTTTTTTAACTATACTCTGGAGTGACACAGAGACATGGAATCAAACATGGAAGAGATGCATTTATAATGAGAGAATGATTTCTGCTATTCTGGTTGAAATTTGGCGTCCATCTTAAGTAATTCCATACTTGGCTATGACAAAATGCTTGCATGATCTGAAGGAGTCATATATCTTTGTACATCAAACTAAGGATTGCCTTTATTTTAAAAGGGGGGGGGTTAAGCCACTCGATGATTACAACAGTATTCATGACTTGCAGTGCTGACATCCTGCAGATTGATGCAGTCTTCAGCTCTGGAAATACTGTGTCATCTAGAAGATGAGAAGTATTAATAATGAAAAAAATATTTATGCAGTCAGCAAATTGTCAGCAAAGGTGGCTTAGATTATACAAGTCACCCCACAGAGACTATGTCAGGTTGCAAATTATTCTACCCACAGAGTTACTTGAAAATGAGTAAAGTGAGTGTCGTGGTACATTCCTCATCCTTTTATATTATTTCTTCCTTCTGTCTATCCTTTTTTATCCTCCTTTTCCTCCTCTCTGAAACTGGAGTAAAATTTTCCACCTAAGTGAAATGCCAGCAATCCTTGAAAACTAGTAGACCATTCTTTTGAAACCCACGTTGCCTTTAGTCAATACTCTAGTGCTCTCTTTTGTGTGGACTGTGCCATGCAATTCTGATGTGCTTTTTGTGTTCATTTATTCTGTCATGTTGTGTTGTTGCCTTTGAATGTTGTCTTAAGATCTGAATCCAATGACTGTTTGTAATGAAATCATTATTTGATAAAAATTTTTTGATAGTTGGAGGGACAAGAAATATTGTTAGTGTAGCAATCAAAATGTAAAAGTTACCGAGGTCACTTTTTTATTCAATTCCTAATATTCATCTAAGACTGATATCACCTTTATACAAAGGATCAGGAAAATAGCTTAAGATCCTGGCACATGTCTTTCTACCTACAGTTTGGAGGCCTCACTTCACATTTTGATATTTGGTTCTGAGTGACTTAAGAATTTATTCAGAATGTTCTCTTTTCTAATTCATATGCCTCAGATATAAAAGTAAAGAGGACTGAAAGAGGTGATAGACATACCTAACTATAAAAACTATTTAAATATATTTGTACATCAAAATATTTTGATATGTACATTCAATTTACGTATGTGTGTTTATCAGTTATATCTCAAAAAAAGCATGAAAACAATCCACACAACATGAAACTTGACTTCAGGTGGGTTTGAAGGGCAAGTCCCCTGCTAGACCCAAGCCAGATTCACATTTCTATATGTCTTCTTTAATAAACTTCCTATTCTACCTATCAGTTGGAATTCAGATGTGTTCACGTATCTGTTTTCTACTTAATTAATCTCATTTGCTTAAAATATCCCTCAGACTTTTCTGAACCACTTTGATTTCATGATGGGAAAGATGTTTTTAAAAGTCCATTAATAAATACAGTAAAGGTCTGTACTATTCACCCTACAGCCTATTAGTTTACCAATAATACTAAACTCCACATTTTAATCATACTTAACCACTTGCTATGATTTTAATGATGTTCCTCTGAATGAAATGTATTTTTAAAACAACTGAATCTATTAGTCCAGAAGTCTAATTGTACTGGTTGATGGAAAAGACATAACTTTATTCAAATATTCCTCAAGATGTTTATGTCTGTTTTCTCTTCCACTATCATCTCCTGTTAAAGTTAAGGTACAATTTCTAATTATAATGCACTCCTAACCCAGGAAAATAAAACATAAAATAGAGCAAAGAATTTCTATTGTAGTAACAGCATTGTTGTAGTACAGTTCTTTTTGTTTTTCACATTGTGTGCTCCTTGGCCTTTTTAGAGAATAGGTTGTCCTTAGGTCGTTTCTCGTGGTGCCAGGATTTCACTTCCTGAACTCTGTGTATTGCACATCATGAACATTCATGAACGCTACATGAGTATGATTGTTCTTCATGATTTTCCATTCTCATCATTTTTAGGTCTTCAGCATCAGGACAAGAGCAAAGAATCAGCTTGGTACTGAAGCATGGTATTGGCAGGTCATATTGGAGCCTGAATCCAAGGGCCCACTGGGAAAGATGCCATTGTGATTTCTTATCCAGCAATGGGACACAGGAAGCTTGGATGGAGAAGAGGACATGTAAGACCACTATCTTTGGATTTGAACCTTTTCTGGAGAAAACAGAGTGGGTCCTAGTCATTGAAGAAAAGCATTTTGTCTGTTTTCCCTCATCTGAGCCTTTGTCAGCTGTGCAACGTCTTGTTTTCTTTGCCTTTTACCAGGACTTCGGTTAGTTTTTGTTTGTTTCTTCTTCCTTTCTTCTTGAACCAGCCGCCTTGTCAGGAGAAGATGAGCCAACAACTGAAAATGCTCATTTCTTCAGGAAAACCATTTTGTAGCTCTCTCTTCATCTATTTTTGTAGAAATACAGAAACTTTGGTTTAGCACGAAGGGGATATTTTTGAGGGATGTAATTTTTTTTAATGTTGTAACAATTGTTAAGTTCTGTTTAAAGAACTTGCTCTCAGAAAAGCACTGGCCACAATGTGTTGAAGTGCAGATCTTAAAAGTATTGGGTGATGCGCTGTGTCTGTGCTTCTGAGGGTACCTCAAGGGGTTTAGCCTTTTCTGTAAGTGGCCCTACCATAGGCAAACAGGTGCAGCATTGCATTTATAGCGAATCTCAGTGAAGATTTAATTCCGTGATAGCTCCCTTAGTTTGCAGTTGTATATGTGTGGCTTGAAGAGACACTTTCTATTAAAGGGCCGATTAATAGGGTATTTTATTACTTTGATTTCTCCCGAAGAGTTCTCGGAGGTTGACTAATGAGAAAGTTTAGGTAATGAACAAAACATCATTCTTTATATGGTCCATCTGATCTTAACAATTGGGAATAGAGCTTATGCACAGCTTCAACTTCAGCTCCAGGAAAAACAATGCTTCAGCCATGATACCTGTGGATACATACCAGTGACCAATTTGCCTAGTTTCTAACCATTCGTTCATGGCAGTTTTGAAAGCCATACTTTTGAATGAATTTATCTCTTGGCGTGAATTCAAATGAATAGTTTCAGAAGAGGAAGCAGACACATGGCAAAGTGCTGACTGTCCCTCACCATTGTAAACTGACAAGTGATATTTTCTTTATGTAGTGTTTTAAATGGAATGTTTTGCAAGATTTTAAATTTCTTTTAAGTGTAATTAGTTTCTCAAAAATTACAGAGAATTAGCAGTGACGATGGATTTAAGCTTATACTTCAATTGCAGAAACTGAACTAAAAATTGAAAGCTTGAGAAGTGAAGCTCCCATGGGCCATGGAAAAAGGAAAGTGAAGTTGGGATTAACTTTAACTGAAGATTAGGCAAAGGTTGGGATTAGGAAGGTAGTGGTGACTGTCAAATCAAAGATGAGGTCTATTTGCAGTTGCTCCCAGTCATAGGAAGTGAGTTTAATACAGATGCTTTTATTTGATAATGTTTCTCAAATTTTCTCATCTCTCTTAATCACACTAAACAGAATGTTGGGAAACGTGCTACTTTCTGTTTTTAATTGTGTATGTCATGGTGTGAATATTTCACACATTAACAACACAATAAGTGGTTCAGCAAAATTCTCACACCTCATCCCTTAACATTTTGCTTGGCTGTATCATATACACGAGTTTCTCCTCCTGCTGTGCATGTGTGGTAAACCCATGCCATTGCTTGTATCCATAGACTATATCATTTCTTCTTCTTGATTTCCTTAAACACTATCTTCACAGTTTTCCCAATATAGTCTACACTTGTGGTAGCTTCCACTTGCTGGTATACAAACTTAAATGTCCAGACAGAGGCCTCACTAAATTCTGTGCATTTTTAATCTGGACTTCGATGGCAAAACTTGTTTTATTTGTTATTTGCACAAATATGTGGAACACAGAGTAGAATGAATCTGTCAAATTCATTTTAGCTTGAGTTTTCCTGAGCTTTGTAAAACAAGCTCTGGGCGGCTGCTGTCAGGGAAACTCACTGGCTGTTATCTCATCTTGGAACAAACTGTCTTAGGTTGCAATTTTTTAGAATGGCGCCACACTTGAGCTTGATGAGCTGCTTTCATTGTATTTTCCCAGCTAATGTGAGGCAAAGAGGGCCAACTCTTTGCTTTGTTCTTTCTTTACCATCAAGTTGGATTGAAAGAGAAAACAGATTAGTTCAGTGATTTGCTTTTATCTTCTCATAACTATGGGCAAAGCATAATTTGTCTCAAGGTCTGAGGAACCTGAAAAATCTGAATTCTATTGCATGGAACAAGGATATTTGCTCTCCCTTAGAGAAAATGTCTGGGTATCAATGGCAGAGTGTCGCCAAAGGAATACATCAAAACCTAGTAAAAAGAGAGGGAACATGGCTAGTTGTCCATCATTGTTCCATGTTCTGCCAACACTTTAACAAACAGAAATAATAAAGGGACTTAAACATGGCACAATAAATAATCTGAGTTTATTTGCATGTAAAGTGCTCTCACATCTGGGCCTGGATTCCCCACCTCACAGTCTGGCTGCCTAATTGGAGGCTGGGTACCACCTGCCTCTCTGACTTCATTGGACCCACTCTACCTTGGACTGTTTTCCAACTTCGGTTTCTTTCAATGTATTTGAAAACCTGACACTGGAAAACTTTATTGTTCTATACATAATCTATTATTCCACCAATGGACTAGCTAAACTAAGAAACAGCATAATGTTGGCTATCAGGGTCCGCACAGATAATCTTTCCTTGTGAATTTGTAAAGAGATTTTAAAGTTTAGAGTCAACACATTTTTATAATCCAGGAAAGTTAGCTATTATTTTAATATTTTCTTTTTCTCTCTTCCATTTCTTTTTAAGATTTGCATTACGCTAACTCCCCCAAATAGTAATATTGCCCCAAACTGTATAAATTAAGAATTAGTGGATTGCAAAAATATTGAAGAATACATTTCCCAATTTTGTAGGATTAAAAAATTGTTCTAGAGGATGCCTATATGAGCTCATTTATTTGACAAATAGTATTTGTCCATTTCTAAACTTGCAGAATATGGGAAAGGAAGTAGCTTTAAGCTTACTATGTGACTGAAGTTAGTAGCTGTAATTTCAAATGCCAGAGACTATTCCTATAAATTGCATTCTGTCTCTTATGAAAAGCATCCTGAATGAAATAGTATTTGCTGAGTTACCCAGTGGGAGTGGCAGTAAGTGATGGGCAAGGCAAAGGCACATGTTATCGTTTTAACTGAGAAGAAAGTAAGGGGGCAGGATGAGTCAGTGTAAACTTGGTTCTTCAGACTTAGCCATGGCTTATTGTGTGATTTGGAACTTTATTTACTTACCTCATGATAAAAAATGGACTAACACTACCTAATAAGGAAGGCTGTGAAAATTTGAAAATATATACAGATGTACCCTACCTACAGTATAGACATTCAAATAACTGACAGCCTCCACAAATGACCATTCAATAAGTTGGTTATTAAGTTGAGCTCTTAAATACACTTTTTTCTTCACGTTGCATATTCATTTTTTTTAAGAGACCAATCAACCATCGGCTGCCTTTCTTGTTAGGAGTCTTGGCAAAGAATCTTTTTTCTCTTCTTAGTTACAGGAGAAGAAAATGTTAACTTTTTAATTAAGTCTGATTTTTTAAATGTGGTGTTTCTGAAGGAAAGTTAATTAAACATTTAGTGGTATGTAGACTGAGTCATATTCATTGACAACTCTATACATTGCTGTCTCCGAAATTAATAGGGCAGTGTCACCCAGCCACCTAACTTTGTGTTTGTTAGATGTGCATTGTGTTTCCGTGGCATGAGGACTAAGACTGTTCCTTTTCAATTACCACCCCCCTTTGTTTCTACTTGCCTTGGAGGAAAAGTTGCACAATATGTTGGAGAAAAATGTTTGCATGGAAAGGGAGGGAGAAGCACTCCCTTTACCATTGCAGTCAGCCGATTTACTCTATTATAGAAAAAAAACTGAAATAACTTTATTGGAAGCAGATGTTGACACTGTGTCAGTTATTGAAGATGGAAAGAGTTCACTCAGTCGCTGCAGTTACAAAGGGGTATTGATGGCAGCCTGGGATAGATCACCTTCCCGGCTGTGGGAAGACAGCAGAAGCTGCATGGAACCACAAATGAAGTCAGCCTGTGACTTCAAGGTGCAAGAGACACCAAGGACTAAGCTTGTTTGGTGTCTTCCTTTTTTTTTTTTTTTTTTTTAAACCCTTCCATGCAGAATGCATAATGGACATCTTTCAGATAATACTAAGGCTCCATAGACGAATTACAACCAAATCTCCTTAGAAATCTATGGTTTGTGGAATCCTTTAAATCCACCATTATCAGGTGAAAACTTTGATTAAAATGATTCAGAAAGTATAGACCAACATTTGTGTCCCAAACCAGCGGAACACACATATACAAACTATGAAAGGAAGATGGCTTTGGTGTTTCGGGAATGAATGGAGCCAGAATGGGAACCTCAGTTTCAATAGCTTCACAATACTAATTGCCATGTGGTCATGTGGTCATGGAACTAGGTTGCAGATCAGATTGTAGAATATTGCATAGCATTGTTACTCTTAGTGCTTTCTGGGAATTTTTAAACTATAAAATTAGTCGTAGTTAAATGTCTTAACTTTAAAATTTTTGTTATGAGCTTTTATTTTCTTGAAACATTTTGTGATGTGAAATGATTAATCAAGGAAATATTCTTGAAGTTTTGACCAGTTTATATTTGATCCAATGACATTTTCTAAATCTGCCTTTAAAAACGTAGGGAATTCTAATAGATTTAAATGTAATTTGCCAATTCTATTATGCCGTGTAAGTCAAAAGTGACTCCCCCTCTTCTAGAAAGGGACACGCCATCACCAAAAAGTTTCTTAGTTTCTTTTTGAATGCTTTCTGACTACTAAATTGTAGCCTAAGATTAATTCCTTTTGAATATAAAACTCTTAATGAAGTTTTCTTCCTTTCTGCCTAAGATGTGAACTTTTCTCTTTATACAAATAGAAGTAAACCTTTTTGTTTTGTTTTGTTTTGTTTTGTGCTGTGGCTAGAGCCAAAGGTAATGATTTTTACACACTTGGTTTAATGTGTTGGAAATGTATACTTGTGAACATCTTATCTGATTTACAAACACTACTCCATATAAGTATTTTTAAAGATGTAAAATGTAGGGAAACCTTCATGTGAGTTCTTTGTATCATTTTAAAATGCATATATTTAAAAGGAAACATGGATTCCTTTTGTTTTCATTGTGTACATCCTTGTAAGGTGAAGTGGTTTTGTAAAGAGAAAGATACACAATAGGATAAACTTTATATTTATCAGGTAAACCGAAAACTAATAATAGAACTCATATATATCTACTAGCATTGACATACAGTGAGATTCCAGGTTTGTCAGTTCTGAAAGAAATCATGCCACCTTGATCTCACATGAAAGGGAAGTCAAGCAATCTCAGCTATACTGTCATTGTTAACTAATGAATAATGTATAATTCTTAAATTTTTTGACTTTATTATTATAAAATCATATGAATTTTGTTGTTATTCTTCAAATGCAGGACTCCTATCTGTGTCACTGATATAAAATCATGGAATACTTTGTAAGAAAAACAGATGCCATTTTCTTTAATTTGCTCAATAAATAATTTAATGTGACTTTAATGATTGGGTCTGCATTTCTAGTAACTAAACCTGTTTTCTCTGCATTTAAACAACTTGTAGTTATTGTTCAAAAGTCACATCTTAGATTTTATAAACTATGAGGTTAATTTCCAGAACCATGACATTTATTTGTTACAGTTTGGAGTGGATTATGAAACACATGTTTACAATGGAAGAGTAAGTGAAATGAATTAATGACATAACAGCAGGAGTCTAGAGAAGTTTTTTTTTTTTTCAGTATGATACTTCTATGGTATTTGTTTGACCCTTTGTTTGGTCCTTATGATTTTGTTTCCATGTTTGTCAGCATTGAACTTTGTCTAAGCAATACGAAAAGACAAATCAGCAACAGCAAAGCTTCTCTACAATTGACTGACATGAAAGAAGTGGCCCAGGAGCAGACATTTCTAATAGTTTGTCTTGTGAAAGACGTTAGACAAGCTCACTCTGTAGACCGTCTTTGTTCTTATTAATTGTTCTTTAATATGAAAATGTGCATTTGGAAGGGCGGCCTAAATAAGAATATCCTCCAACAATGCAGGTGAAAAACTTGGCACAGCTTCCATTACAGTCTGACACAGTTAGACTAGGATGGTGTAAGAGGGATTTATGGCTGCTCTGAAAAATTACTACAAATGCAATGACTTAAGACAACACAAGCAGATTATCTTACAGTCTTGCACCTGTTGGGCATCTAGTACAGGTTTTGTCTTGTTGGGCTGCAAAGCACAGACTGCTAGAGAAGATCCGGATCCTTGCTGGCTTTCTGTTTCTGCAGGCCTTCAACATCCTTATTCAAAACCAGTTCTGCCTCACCTGGTGGTACTTTCACATTCTCTTCTGCCTCCTCCTTGCATAGGAAAGGCCCCTTTGTGGTTACAAATTCATTCTACTTGTAGAATTCAGGTTAATGTTCATTATTTCACAGTCCCTTCTGCAAGGCCCCCATTTCTGTATGAGATGTGTGTTCTGAAATCCGGGGGAGAGAGTGTAAACACATCTTATCCTACCACAATTTATCGCCTTTGTGGGTTTCTTGAAATCAGTTTATGACCAGGGACTTAACTACTTCATCAGAAATTAATAGAACATTATCATTGCTATGTGTTTGTGTGGGATATTGTCTTCCCTTTCGATAACTGGGTTCAAGGATGTTTCTGCTGTTTCTTCAAAATGTTTTGTGAAGTGTTTGGGACGTTTTATGGAGCTGGAAAATCCAAGAGGTCACCACCAGAACTCAAAGGTGTGGACAACAGTCTTTGAGTGAGTGTGGATTCTTACTCACTGAAGTGTGTTCTCTGATGACAACCAACCACCAATTAGTTGTTTTGCTTGGGGGTGGGGCTTACACCCATCCTTCGAGTTGCCAATTCTCCAAATGTCTCATTTGACTAAATAGTGGCAGATAACTATTTTGACGCAGTGAAGTCTTAACACTTCTGTCCAGATCAAATAATTCCATCTGCTATCAGTTAAGCACTGGAAAACTATTACAGAAAAGCAAGCATGTTTTGATAGATTTAACAAGCAAAGTAGGAATCCATATCATGGCATGTTGCTGATCAATAATTGAGCTGCCAGCCTGATGGAAACAACAGCCAAACACGAGTGCTCTGCTTTCCATACCAAGTTTGGCTGTGGCTGAATGAAGACCAGCATTGATCCCTGCCTTGCACTTGTAAAGCCACTATTTACAGAGAGCCAAATATAGCAGCAGAGGATTTAATGTGTTGCCAAAAAATACAAAATCTGTTCCCCCTTAAGCATGATACTTTATCCTTTTCTTGTGGATCTTGCTAAAAGGAAAATATAGCTTTAAACCACCCAATCTCTTCTGTTGAAAGTTCCCTAGCCTTTTTCAAATGAATTATGTGTTTATGTGTGGTTTTGTGGTGTTTTGAGTTTCCAAAAGAAATCAGTTACATGAGAAATCTATGTAGTGTTGGGTTTTCTTACAAAAACAAAACACTTTTAATGATGGATGTGTTAGTGAATTTGACTATAATAATTACCATTCATTGTGTGTGTAACAAACTATCCTATATACATTGAAAATAGATAATTTTATTTTGTCAATTAGATCTTAGTAAAGTTGGGTGTTAAGTACTTTTAAGTCAAATATTTAACATAACAGCAATTAAGAAAATTCAATTTTGACAGTTTAGAATTAACCAAGGATCATTGAATGATGTTAATTTATATTTTGTTTTGTGCAGAATTTTAATTTGAAAGAAAGAATTTCGCTTCAACTAATGTATTTTCTCCATTTCTTTGGTCTTAGGTTCCATTTTACTTTATTTCTAAGCATAAGGTGATAAGTAGAATAATCCAGATCGCTTTACAATGTGGCTAATGACAGTGACTCTCTTGCTTACATGCACACAGATGCCTACACACACACACACACACACACACACACACACACACACACACACACACAGTGTATACATTTGTGTGCATGTGCCTCTGTGTGTGTGTGTGTGTGTGTGTGTGTGTGTGATTTTGAAAACAGTTTTGCAAACTTCACTAAGCAAATAGCTTTCTACAATGACAGATTTACCAGACATCTCAGTAAGGGAATTTTAAACAAACACAAGCCTGTTTGGAAATACTTGGTGTATGTAAATATGCAAAATATGTTGAGCAGTGCAGCCGTGTTGAACAGCTGCAGGGTGTACTCCCTCATCCCTGAGAAGAGTATTTTGGTGGCAACGGCATTCATTTTCCCATATTGGCTTTGCCCTTCCCCCATGAATCTTCTGACAGCACAAATCTAATACCCTCTCCCACTTAGATGCTAATTCCAAGGGGATCATTTCCCTGGATTCCCACTGGAAAAGGTGGGTGGTGCCTTGAAGGAATGTTCTTGAGTTTAGTGATGCTGTAAAGGCTGCACTTGGGAGAACTTGCTTGGACTTGCTTTGACACGAAACTCACACACAACCCAGACACTCTGCAGGCCAGATTCCATTTAGGCTTGTCACAGTAAGGGGTGGGTGAGAAAGTACTGTTGTGAGTGGCCTTTCCGGCAGTGATGGTCCAGTCTTTTGATCACAACCCTTTTAAGCATTTAAGCATGTCACCACATTCTGTAATATCAGACACTAAACTGTTTATGAAACTAAACGTGCCTGTCTCCTGAGAACCCGAAGAGGAAGGGGGAACCTCAGAGGAGCTTTAAAATGTGAGTCTGCTATTAAAGCATTTTGTTGATATACTGTGAAGAAAAACGCTGAGAATATGAAGGACAGCCTAGACCCTAGAAATAGAGTCCATGGTAACTTGTTGCTATCTCAACACTGTATTTCCCCAGTTTATATATTGTTGGAAATTGATGGAGATAAATCTAAATTGTTTTGGGGAAATGAAAATTACTGACAAATACAAAGAAAAGAGAACTAAAAAAATAAAATAGCCCCAAATTTCTCTGTAAACAATGACTATCACCTGAATTTAAGAAATTCTCACAAATAGCACTATGAAGATTGGCATTGCATTTTTCAGCGAAATTAAATGGGCATTTAAATTTAGACAATGTCATTTATTAAGAAGCTGCAAATTCCTGGTTAATTTCCTTAGCTATTAATGTGGTCATCTGTAAAATGAATGTATTAAGGGTCACTATTCGGACAATTACAAAACTTAAAAAAAAATGCCTGTGATTCAGTTACTTCCAGGTACATGCTGTTTTCTCTCTTTCTTGAACTTACTAATTGTGGAAATCTTCAGTTAAGTCATTGCCAAGGGCACTCAAGTGCAAGCAGCAAAGCCAGGGCTCAACCTAGGTGTGATCAAACATGAAACCTCAACAGCACCATGCTGTTTCCCATTCCCCCCACTCTGCCCCCCCCATAGCACCCCTCACACCCCTTTCTTCTACCGTCACATCTGAATTTCTTTGATGTCAGAAACATTTAAAAATCCCACGGCAAGTTAGGATGCAGTAATAGGAAGTTCTAAATACAGTCAGGAACAGGATACTTAGGGACACTGAGAAAGGGCAATCTGGCTTTTGTGACACACTTAGATTTCTAAAAGACTATGGAACTGCAGAACATTATTTACAATTTGCGGATGTGGAACCAATTCCTTCAACATTCTGGTTGGAAAGATTAGGGATGTTTTTCCTCCAGGGCCAACCTCAAATATTATTAAATAGTCATGGATTATAAGAGATACAACATATTTTTGTTGAAATTGTATTTTTTTTATCGAAAATTGTCAATCGCTGATTGCTTTAATTGATGAGTAGGACCTTGTCAATTAAAAATAACAAAATGAGGGGCTAGAGAGATGGCTTAGCAGTTAGAACCATTTGCTACTCTGCACAGGAGGGGTTTGCTCCTTGACACAGGGCGGTGGCTCACAACAGTAACTTTAGTTCCAGGGGATCCAACACCCACTTCCGGCTTCCCTTGGCACCAGGGAAGCACATGGTGTACCTACATATGGCAGACAAATCACTCACACAGCAGGTTAAATCTTTAAAAAATGCGTTTTAATTGTGAGTTTTTATAGTAAAGAAAATACATTTGAACTCTTTTCCCACACTGTGAATATTCACTAGAGGAAAATGATATACTAAAAGAAATAATTAAGAAGACAAATTGTAGCCTCCTAAGGGCTGGCTACAGGTGTGCCTAACCAAAGGTGATGTCAGGGTGACATGGGAGAGGCTTAAAGGACTAGGGAATGCACATGGTAGCTCTCTTTTCCCTGCTGTTTTGGCTTGTTCTGCTTGTCTGCTGCTTGGCTTCCTAATAAATATATATCCTGACCATCACAAGCTACGTATTAGTTATTAATCATAATAACAAACATGGTATGTACTAATGTGGGAAATTACCAATATGGAGCCAGGTAAAAATACAAGGGAATTTAATATGGTAAAGCCTTACTTACAGAGCGACCTAGTCAGCCGGCGGAGCAGCAGTAAGTACAGCAAGCCTAAGATGAAAGGGAAGAAGGGGCCGCCACGTGAGCATCCCTCACTCTTAAACCTTCCCTATGTCACCCTGTCCACACCCTCACAGGCGTGGTCATCAGGTGTGGCTATAGCATCCCCTACAATATACTCTTATATGGATTTTAGACATAGAGCAAAGAATTGCCAGCCTACAATCTGCACTGCCAGAGAAGATAGGAAACAAGGAGGACCCTAAGAGAGACATGCATGGTCCCCCAGAAAAAGGGAAAGAGACAAGATCTCCTGAGAAAATTGGGAGCATGGGGGAGGGGAGAGGGAGTTAGGAGAAAGAGAAGGGAAGAAGCGGAGGGGAGAGGAGGACATGAGGGAGCAGGAAGATTGAGTCAGGGGAAGAATAGAGGAGAGCAAGAAAAGAGATACCATAATAGAGGGAGCCATTATAGGTTTAAAGAGAATTCTGGCACTAGGGAAATGTCCAGAGATCTATAAGGATGATCCCAACTAACAATCTAAGCAATAGCGGAGAAGCTACCTTAAATGTCCTTCTCTGATAATTGATTGATGACTACCTTATGTGACATCCTAGACCCTTCCTCCAGTAGCTGATAAAAGCAGAAGCAGACTCACAGCTTAACACTGAGCTGAACTCCTAGAACCCATTTGTAGAGAGGAGAAGTGATGAGCAAAGGGGTCAAGATCAGGCTGGAGAAATCCATAGAAACAGTTAACCTGAACAAGGGAAAACTCATGGACCCCAGATTGATAGCTGGGAATCCAACATAGGACCAACCCAGACCCCCTGAATATGGGTGTCAGTTAAGGAGGTCTGGGCAATTTATGGGGCCTCTGGTAGTGAATCAGTATTTATCCCTAATATATGAATGGACTTTGGGAGCCCATTACACATAAAGGGATACTGTCTCAGCCTAGATACAAGGGGGAAGGCCTAGGCTCTGCTCCAAATGATAAGACATAGACTTTGAAGATCCCCATGGAAGGCCTTACCCACCCTGGACAGCAGAAAAGGGATGGAATAGGGGGTTGGTGGGGGCAGGGGGAGGGGAGGGAGATGGGAAATAAGGCTGTTTCTAATTTAGATATAAAAAAAAGAAAAAGACAGTATAGCATCGTCTGATCCCATAGTTTGTCAAAGCATAGAGGGCATGAAATAATCGGGTGTCAACATTGTCTTTTTACTTGCCAGTTGTTTGTCATGGGGAAAAGTGCACTTTCTCATCATCCCAAATGAAAAGACAACACCTACACTACAGATTGAATATGTGGGCTTAACAGGACAATGCATATCATTTGCTCAATAGGGGACTTATGAAGCATGGGCTTTATTAGGTACACACAGACGGGGGTTTTGCGAAGCTCCATTGAATCTTCAGCAGCACTTCCCAAGGTCAGTTCCCCTGTTTCCATTTTAAGCAATAAAATTGAAGTGTGGAGACTTAAATAACTTGCATAACTCAGAGTTAGCATTGAATAATTCCTCAGGCTAAATCATCTCTGTGCTCGTCTCTTCTCCACTATATCAGGTTGTCTCTCCCTTTGCCAAACTAAATCTGGATGCTTTCCCTTTGTCCTCAAGTATCCTCAGAAGCGGTTCATACATGAGGATGCAGATTCCTGCATTATACATGGACGTGGTTGGAAAATGGCCAACTATTGCCTCCACTTTAAACAATACAGAGCCACTAAAGTGATTTGTCCTTAGCACCATCCCTCTTACACCATAAGGCTGACAGAGTCCTCTACTCTTTCAAAATATATGATAAAACAAGTCTGAGTAATAGAGAAAGAAAACATTCTCAAATGTAGATAGGATAAAATAAAAACATGGTTCTTAAATGTAGATAGGCTAACTGCAGATGGATTAAATTTAAGAAAAATGTGATGCATAGCAGATATTCACTCATCCCAAGGTCTGGAAGGTTCCCAGTGAAACAAAAAGTTCTGAAGCCTTGACTTTGATAACTCACAGTGAATATGCCCTTAACCAAGGTACTTAAACACATCCTGCCTATGAAAAAGCAATTTGTGACCTTTATAGCTACATATGTTAACATATGAATGATACAATGGAGACTAGCATGACCCTTGTGCAAGAATGACTCACCAGCCCCTGAGGTATTGCATGTTTGTAGGAATAAGGCAGAAAGTGACAGAGCAGGACACCCAAAGTCCGCTCCCAGTCCTTGGTGAGCTTGGGCAGAGTCCCACCATGCGCACGTACACACGCACACCAGAGACGTTCCCATTTCAGTAGCATTCGTTTGTGGTTTTGCATCTTTAGTTTGTGTTTCCTATCTGTTGTACATTTAGCTGAAAATTTGCATAGGCTAACATAATTACATTGTGAATAAAATTTTTAAAGGCTTCACTTGGAAGGAAGAGACAGAAGGAAAAGGTAAAATGTTTTGAAAGGAATTTACATAGAGAAAGGGAAAAACTTGTAAAGGTGACACTGAATGAAGAATTTGAGTCCAAATATCTTGAAGCCAAGCAGAGTGGGTTGTTCCACCTTTTGGGAGGAATAATCCTGTTTTGTTTCTTTCATAAAACACATTATAAACTGTGACTATGTGTGACCGTAAGCAAGAAGAATTATAACATACTTCAAGTGATAATGCCTTTTGATATTGAAGTAGCCTGGAGAGAATGAGCTCTAGATTATCTGAAGGTTCCTGACGTAGTTGTGTTGCTAATGACCCATGCACTCCTGGAAAACATTACTGAATGTTCTTGTGTTTACTTGTCTATTAAATTGGGAAAGTAAAACTAGACAATCTAGGTTTCTTCCACTTTGAGAGTTCAATGATCACATGTCTATTTTCTTATAAGATACAAACAAAGCCTATTTAGACACCAGAATTAATTTTCCCTGGAGCTAGAAGAGTTTGGAAAGAATAGTTTTATTGGAAAGCAATATTTGACAACTTCTTTAGATGCTAATGGGAGTCTAGGCTAAAACAGTTCAATAATGACAGAGTGCAGAATGGAACAAAGAAAAATTCCAAAGAATCTCTGCAACAAATGCCATTGGTATTTATGTAATCTGAAAAGGGAAAAAATGAGAAGTAAGAGAGACACGATTCCCTTAGGGATTTGACATCCTGGAATTTGTATTTTTAACACAGTTTATCCTGCAAGGAGCCAATATGCAAACCTGTGTATAATTTAGAAGTTTTTCTCATCCCATGTGTCCCACATGCTGGTTTGAATTACTCAAGATGGAAAATAGAATCAGGGGTGGGGGCGGATAAAAACATTTACAGCATTCCTATTACTAATTATGTACAGCACAGTAGACAGTTTCAGATACGTCACTAAGGACATATCAGGGTACCCAGCCTCATCTCCCACTCCCTTAACTTTACCTCATTTGAGAGAGTCAAATCCTTGTGATTTTTCTAGCTTAATTTTAATAATCTATATTGGCATTGGCTTCCATAGTTTCTGCTGGTAAACTAAGTTAGACAAATTTTAATTTCTCTGCATTTGCTAACTGCTTAACTTCTTCAAATATCACATTCTTGTGGTCATCAGGAGATAAATTTATTGCAATAATCCAAAAGTATTTAACAACTCTTTAGGATACCATGTGATGTCCTGGATAAAAGTCAACAGCTATACCACTGTGCCCTAAAGGAAGCTTTAATCAACTTGGTCTGGCTCCTCCATGTATTTGAAACACCATCTCATTCTTGTCTATCAATAAATTCACCAATTATTCATATAATTTCACTTTTTATGAGTTGATGTCCATTTCCTCTTATGTCCTTGTCAACTGTTGTATTCTATCCTTAATTTGTTTTCATTCTTCTAATGTGTTTGTTGTATACACATACCCCATGCTTCTTGATGGCCTCTTTGCTGAGCAAGGGTCATGACCCAGTGTGGCCCAAGTATTCCAAACTGAAGTAGAGGAAGGGGTGGTTTCTGCTGTTGAATCAATCACTTGTCTATATAAAACACAACCACGAGCGCTCTTCTTTGCAAAGTTAGGGCCTATTTCATAGGATGTATCCTTTTCAAATTCTGAAAAGATGCAGGCAGTATTGTAGGTGCATGAATGGACTCTTAGCACTGGAAGAAATTAGACGCTAATACCAGCAGATGGGGGACCAATGGTAGTACTTTGTCCCCCATCTTGCTTTCAGTACCTTATGTGGTAGAGCTGGGGCTGGGTTCCACAGCTCAAAGGGCTCTGTCCTAATCTTCTATCACACAACCATACTCCCAAATTCTGCCTGGTACTCAGGATTTAGGCTCCCAGGAAACTGCTTCTTGATTTTGTTCCTCATTTAATAGATTGTTCTAAGATTGTTATTCTCTGGTTGCCTTTACTATCTTTTTAATTTTTTTGATTCACATCACTGTTTTTGACATTCAGAGTGTATCCAGGTAGGCTGTGGTAGTGCTTGCCTTTAAACCTATACTGGGGAAGCAGATGAATGTGGATGTCTGTGAGATCAAGACCACCCTGGTCTACAAGAGAGAGTTCCAGACATTCAGGGCCATACAGAGAAACCCTATCTTGGAAAACAAACAAACAAACAAACAAAAAACCAAAACAATAAAAAAAGAAACTCAGAGTGTATTTGTTTATAAGGTTCTAGTGTGCAGACATCATTTTTGTCCATAAGATATTTTCCTAGGACAAAATGTACCAAGAAAGGATTCACAGCCTAAAGCTGTTTGTGAGTCACCTCATAAGGATAAGAATGCCTGCTTGCAAGAAGAAGAGGGGATGTTAGTAGTCCATGGCATGCAGTAGCCATACAACCACCTTTGTTATCAAGGCTCCAGAAAGCTTGATATTCTGCTGCACTCTTGATGCAACAGTGACAATGATTCTCAGTTGGCTAGAGTTTGAAAAAGCTTTGGATACAGGACTGACATACTTCAAAGATGAAAAAGAGTCAAATCAAGGCTTCAAGGTTTGTAACTCTCAGTTCTAATCACTGATAAACTATTGATGAACTTAATGACAGTGTTAAGTGGTCCTTAAAATGTACTAAAGATGTGGGTGTATGGAGCTCAAAGGTCAGCTCACACCTAAAGTCTTATGGCACAGTTTAGAGATTTTGAAGAAAATTGTTCAGTTATCTTTGTTAAATTTCTTCTGTTAGTGTGAGAGGACTAGTGAGAGAACAATGATTCATTTAGGGATAGAAACACTTGAGGGTGGGCAATGACTCAGTGCAATGAACACTTGCAAGTAAAGATGTAAGGACTAAAGGGTACACTGTGTGACTCACTGTGACACACTCTGTATATAGCTTCCACAACAAGATCTTTTATTTTTTTCTTTTAAATTTGATTTTGTTTTGTCTTGATGGGGTTGCAAGGTTGCAAGGTCAGAGGGCAGATGTGAAGGCATGGGATGGGGGGGATGAGTGGGCTTGAGATGCATGCTATGCAATCCAGAAAGAATCAATAAAAAAGCTAAATTAGAAAAACAATACATGAGCAGTACTGAACTCTTATAAGGAACTGAATCTTAAAACTCTTTCTCAAAATTTGTCTTTCAATGTAAAGACCCCCTTTGCCTTTTGGATCGTCTACTTCTAAACCACATTTCCTTAACAACATAGACTTAAAACTCACTTTACATTCTAGCAACATCACAGGATGCGACTAGTTATCTTGGGAGGAGACAGCATTTATACCACAAGGATTGCAGGAACCCGCATACATATGGTGGAACCTACAGATCCCCTATATAGATGGCTCTTAAGTAACTTAGACTAATAAGTTTTTAGGTGATAAATGGAATATAAAGACTATATTTAGTCTATAAATTTTAGGCTACAAATAGAATATACAGTTAGGCTGGGTTTTTCTGTTGAGAGCAGTATTAAATTTACTAAGTGGATTAGCTGTAAATGGCCCTAACAGCTTGCATGGTTAACTGACCAGAGCATTGCTTCCAAGGGCTATGGTTAATGAGGTTAAGAAACTAAAGTTTCCCTCTATTTATTTAGAAAAAAATACAACAGACTTACAAATTTGGCAGTGTTAAAGAAAACAATATTATGTATTACTCGCTTAGTTTCCCTCTCAAAATTCGGCATAGCATTTTAAACATAGAGCAAAGGATTATCAGCCTACAATCCAAATCACCAAAGGAATATGGAAACAAGGAAGACTCTAAGAGAAGAATGTATGGCTCCCCAGAGAAGGGGAAGGGGACAGGATCTCCTGAGGTAATTG